CGTCAGTGTTTATCGTGTGGCTGTCTTGACGTTTGTGGCTGTCTTGACGTTTGTGGCTGTCTTGACGTTTGTGGCTGCCTTGACGTTTGTGGCTGTCTTGATGTTTGTGGCTGCCTCGACGTTTGTGGCTGCCACAACGTTTGTGGCTGCCTCGACGTTTGTGGCTGTCACGACGTTTGTGGCTGCCTCGACGTTTGTGGCTGTCTCAAAGTTTGTGGCTGCCTCAAAGTTTGTGGTGGAACTTGTGGTGTATGGCACCCTATATTAAGCAATAATAATTGACACGTTGTGATGTTAGTGAACATATACATGAAGTACCAACAGCAGCCGGGGGAGGGGAGGGGGGGTGTTGGGCAGCACGTGACCTCACCACCAACACTGTCAGCCACAGCAACACCACCACTGTCAGCCACAGCAACACCACCACTGTCAGCCACAACACCACTGTCAGCCACAGCAACACCACCACTGTCAGCCACAACCACAACACCACTGTCAGCCACAACCACAACACCACTGTCAGCCACAGCAACACCACCACTGTCAGCCACAGCAACACCACCACTGTCAGCCACAACACCACTGTCAGCCACAGCAACACCACCACTGTCAGCCACAACACCACTGTCAGCCACAGCAACACCACCACTGTCAGCCACAACACCACTGTCAGCCACAGCAACACCACCACTGTCAGCCACAACCACAACACCACTGTCAGCCACAGCAACACCACCACTGTCAGCCACAGCCACAACACCACTGTCAGCCACAGCAACACCACCACTGTCAGCCACAGCAACACCACCACTGTCAGCCACAGCAACACCACCACTGTCAGCCACAGCAACACCACCACTGTCAGCCACAGCAACACCACCACTGTCAGCCACAGCAACACCACCACTGTCAGCCACAGCAACACCACCACTGTCAGCCACAGCAACACCACCACTGTCAGCCACAGCAACACCACCACTGTCAGCCACAGCAACACCACCACTGTCAGCCACAACACCACTGTCAGCCACAGCAACACCACCACTGTCAGCCACAGCCACAACACCACTGTCAGCCACAGCAACACCACCACTGTCAGCCACAACCACAACACCACTGTCAGCCACAGCCACAACACCACTGTCAGCCACAGCAACACCACCACTGTCAGCCACAGCAACACCACCACTGTCAGCCACAGCAACACCACCACTGTCAGCCACAGCAACACTGTCAGCCACAGCAACACCACCACTGTCAGCCACAGCCACAACACCACTGTCAGCCACAGCCACACCACCACTATCAGCCACAGCAACACCACCACTGTCAGCCACAGCAACACCACCACTGTCAGCCACAGCCACAACACCACTGTCAGCCACAGCCACAACACCACTGTCAGCCACAGCATGACTGGAGAGCGTGTGGGGCCGCCCATCACCTGAGCATAATTACAGGTGTCGTGGGGCCACCTTCCCATCAGGGCGCCCCCACCCCTCTCCCTCCACGTAATGTAGCCAATCAGGACAAGAGGAGATGCTAATGAACAGGAGGCAAGAGGTCCCATAAATCAGGTAATTACCGCGGTCACCCCGTAAGTCACCGACCAGGAAGGTGATGACAGGCGGTCTTTATATCGAGGTTCCCGCCACCGATTACGCTCTCTCGATCACTTCCGTTTTTTGTTCTGTCATTTTTGTTTTTTTTTCCCCGTTTTCTTTTTTTCTTTCAAGGGACGACACCTGCCAGATTCAATTTAGGTCCTTTGTTGTTTGTTGCTAAAGTGTGTTGGTGCGGGTGTTGGTGCGGGTGTTGTGGTGGTGTTGGTGCGGGTGTTGGTGCGGGTGTTGTGGTGGTGTTGGTGCGGGTGTTGTGGTGGTGTTGGTGCGGGTGTTGGTGCGGGTGTTGGTGCGGGTGTTGCTAAAGTGTGTTGGTGCGGGTGTTGTGGTGTTGTCTACCTGCAGATGTTGTCAGAATTGGACATTTTATATTCATAAGAGCTTGTACAAATCATTACAGTTGTGGCTGGACTAAACAGCTGTACAGCAGTCTGTATCATTTGAAAGGTTTTAGAATACCTTTGAAAGGTATTAGAAAATTAGAATTACTGAGCTTAGTTTACCAACTAGTTCACAGCATCTTTGTCCCTAGAGCGTTGATACTTGGAGCGTGGACACAGATGAGGCAGGACCAGAGGACACAGGAGGAAGCTAGAGACACAGATGAGGCAGGACCAGAGGACACAAGAGGAAGCTAGTGACACAGATGAGGCAGGACCAGAGGACACAGGAGGAAGCTAGAGATACAGACGAGGCAGGACCAGAGGACACAAAAGGAAGCTAGAGATACAGACGAGGCAGGACCAGAGGACACAGGAGGAAGCTAGAGATACAGACGAGGCAGGACCAGAGGACACAGGAGGAAGCTAGAGATACAGACGAGGCAGGACCAGAGGACACAAGAGGAAGCTAGAGATACAGACGAGGCAGGACCAGAGGACACAGGAGGAAGCTAGAGATACAGACGAGGCAGGACCAGAGGACACAAGAGGAAGCTAGAGATACAGATGAGGCAGGACCAGAGGACACAGGAGGAAGCTAGCAAGTACAATAGTCTACAACAAGCGATTGTCTAGGCGACAGAAATACGAGTAATTGCACTAATTGAAAATAAGCTGGAGAGGCGGAGCCAGGGAGCTATTACTCGACCCTGCAAGCACACTAAGGCGAGTGCTCTCACTTCACGCAGTGGATTTACGAGTGCGAGCTAACGAGGCAGTTACACGAGGTGAACCACGTCAACCTTTGTCCTGCCTGCCTCATGGCAAGACTTATGGCCTTGTAACACCACGAATATTAAACCATACGACTCAGCGCCCATTACCGCGCCGGGACTCAACAACCATTTATACTACCAGCTTGTTTATAACACTAATAACCTTGGGTTGTGAAGTTTCGGAGCTCTTAAACGGTTTATTAAATGTAAGTCAAGCCGCCATGATTGAGGAGAGATGTACAGGTTGCGTAGGGGGAGGGAGAGGGGGAGGCGTACATGCTTGTTGAATTCTGGCTGTCGCTGCTAACTCTCGGAATTCATTCATTCTTTATGATAAATACCAAATTTGAAAGATATTTTGTGTCAATGCTGGCCACTATCTGAGGTGTGAGGTGGAGACTCCTTCACTGTAGCAGGCAGTGACTGTGCCTCCTTCAGGTGACAAGGTCCAGCTAAGGCACAGTGACTGTAGGAATTACAGTGACTGTACTAAGCAAATGTTGTTGTTATAGATTCAGCTACTGCACGGACTGTAGCACGGACTATGGTAAGCCCCTAGTGGACTTACCTGGCACAGGAGCGGGGCTGTAACTTCGTACTAAGCAAGGTGACTGTAGCTTGAGTAGTGTCGTTAGCGAGAGGAGCAGTAGCAGTGATAGAGAGAGAGAGCGTGAGTGTGTGTGTGTGTGTGTGTGTGTGTGTGTGTGTGTGTGTGTGTGTGTGTGTGTGTGTGTGTGTGTGTGTGTGTGTGTGTGTGTGTGTGTGAGTGAGTGAGTGGTGGCGCACATGTCTGCGGGTGGGTGGGTGAGGTACAGGGGGGCGGTAATGAGTCTATTATCCCCGGGGTACTCATACGCGGGGCGTATGAATCATGGGTGGGCGGTCACAGTGAGGGATGTGTGCGTCCAGACGCATGCTGGGCTCTTATTGTGAGGGGCGCCCCGCTCGCCTCGGCGCTCCCTCACGCACACTCCGCCGCTCTCGTGACCACGGTGACAGGTCGCCGCTGACCGGGATGGGACGGGTCGCCGCTGCCCGGGATGGGACGGGTCGCCGCTGCCCGGGATGGGACGGGTCGCCGCTGCCCGGGATGGGACGGGTCGCCGCTGCCCGGGATGGGACGGGTCGCCGCTGCCCGGGATGGGACGGGTCGCCGCTGCCCGGGATGGGACGGGTCGCCGCTGCCCGGGATGGGACGGGTCGCCGCTGCCCGGGATGGGACGGGTCGCCGCTGCCCGGGATGGGACGGGTCGCCGCTGCCCGGGATGGGACGGGTCAGCTTCGGATAGGGGCTGGCTCCGTGAAAATGTGTTGGATACGTACCTGTACTTGCCTGGTTGTGGCTTGCGGGGGTTGAGCTTTGGCTCTTTGGTCCCGCCTCTCAACTGTCAATCAATCAAATGTTACTAACTATTTTTTTACACAAACACACACACACACACACACACACACACACACACACACACACACACACACACACACACACACACACACACACACACACACACACACACACACATGGGCGTGGGCGTAACACCTATCTCCTGAAGCACCTATAAATAGGATAACGACAGCAGCGTACTCTACACTGGCAAAAGTTAGAACATCATTCAGAAACCTAAGTAAGAAAATATTTAGGGCACTTTACACTGCCTACGTGAGGCCATCTTAGAGTATGCCGCCTCATCATGGAGTCCCCATCTGAAGAAGCATATAAGGAAACTGGAAAAGGTTCATAGGTTTGCAATGAGACTCGTCCCAGAGCTAAGAGGGATGGGGTATGAGGAGCGCCTGAGGGAACTGTGCCTTACGACACTAGAAAGAAGAAGGGAGAGGGGGGACATGATAGGAACGTATAAAATACTCAGGGGGATTGACAGAGTGGACATAGACGAAATGTTCACACGGAATAGTAACAGAACGAGGGGACATGGGTGGAAGCTGGAAACTCAGATGAGTCACAGAGATGTTAGGAAGTTTTCTTCTAGCGTGAGAGTAGTGGAAAAATGGAATGCACTTCAGGAACAGGTTGTGGAAGCAAATACTATTCATAATTTTAAAACCAGGTATGATAGGGAAATGAGACAGGAGTCATTGCTGTAAACAACCGATGCTCGAAAGGCGGGATCCAAGAGTCAATGCTCGATCCTGCAGACACAACTAGGTGAGTACACACTGTGTGTGTGTGACCTATTTGTGCCTGCAGGATCGAGCTCTAGGTCATGGACCCTGGCATCATATCTGCTGGTTGTCTAATGAATCAACTTTACCTTTATTACTCTACCATATCTATTTTTGAAATATCGAACACCCCGAGGGCCCGACCCGAGCCCTGCAACACCCCCGGGGGCCCGACCCGAGCCCTTCAACACCCCCGGGGGCCCGACCCGAGCCCTTCAACACCCCCGGGGGCCAGACCCGAGCCCTTCAACACCCCCGGGAGCCCGACCCGAGCCCTTCAACACCCCCGGGGGCCAGACCCGAGCCCTTCAACACCCCCGGGGCCCGACCCGAGCCCTTCAACACCCCCGGGGGCCAGACCCGAGCCCTTCAACACCCCCGGGGGCCAGACCCGAGCCCTTCAACACCCCCGGGGGCCAGACCCGAGCCCTTCAACACCCCCGGGGGCCCGACCCGAGCCCTTCAACACCCCCGGGGGCCCGACCCGAGCCCTGCAACACCCCCGGGGGCCCGACCCGAGCCCTTCAACACCCCCGGGGGCCCGACCCGAGCCCTGCAACACCCCCGGGGGCCCGACCCGAGCCCTTCAACACCCCCGGGGGCCCGACCCGAGCCCTGCAACACCTCGGTGGCCCGACCCGAGCCCTTCAACACCCCCGGGGGCCCGACCCGAGCCCTTCAACACCCCCGGGGGCCCGACCCGAGCCCTTCAACACCCCCGGGGGCCCGACCCGAGCCCTGCAACACCTCGGTGGCCCGACCCGAGCCCTTCAACACCCCCGGGGGCCCGACTCCAGCCCTGCAACACCCCGGGGGCCCGACCCGAGCCCTTCAACACCCCCGGGGCCCGACTCCAGCCCTGCAACACCCCGGGGGCCCGACCCGAGCCCTTCAACACCCCCGGGGGCCCGACCCGAGCCCTTCAACACCCCCGGGGGCCCGACCCGAGCCCTGCAACACCCCGGGGGCCCGACCCGAGCCCTGCAACACCCCCGGGGGCCCGACCCGAGCCCTGCAACACCCCGGGGGCCCGACCCGAGCCCTGCAACACCCCCGGGGGCCCGACCCGAGACCTGCAACACCCCCGGGGGCCCGACCCGAGCCCTGCAACACCCCCGGGGGCCCGACCCGAGCCCTGCAACACCCCCGGGGGCCCGACCCGAGACCTGCAACACCCCCGGGGCCCGACCCGAGCCCTGCAACCCCCCCCCCGGGGGCCCGACCCGAGCCCTGCAACAGACAGCCACCATTACACTAACGACGAGCTGCTCGTTAGCGCGTCACTCGTTAATTGTCTCCGCTGACAGCTTACCGGACCTTTATTTTACTTTAAGGGCCGCTAATTGACAGCTGACAGGACCTCTGTTCGTCCTGTTGTTCGTCTAGGTGAGACACAGTAGTCTAGGTGAGACACAGTAGTCTAGGTGAGACACAGTAGTCTAGGTGAGACACAGTAGTCTAGGTGAGACACAGTAGTGTTGGTGAGACACAGTAGTCTAGGTGAGACACAGTAGTCTAGGTGAGACACAGTAGTCTAGGTGAGACACAGTAGTCTAGGTGAGACACAGTAGTCTAGGTGAGACACAGTAGTCTAGGTGAGACACAGTAGTCTAGGTGAGACACAGTAGTCTAGGTGGGACACAGTAGTCTAGGTGAGACACAGTAGTCTAGGTGAGACACAGTAGTCTAGGTGAGACACAGTAGTCTAGGTGAGACACAGTAGTCTAGGTGGGACACAGTAGTCTAGGTGAGACCTAGTAGTCTAGGTGAGACACAGTAGTCTAGGTGGGACACAGTAGTCTAGGTGAGTCACAGTAGTCTAGGTGAGACACAGTAGTCTAGGTGAGACACAGTAGTCTAGGTGAGACACAGTAGTCTAGGTGAGACACAGTAGTCTAGGTGAGACACAGTAGTCTAGGTGAGACACAGTAGTCTAGGTGAGACACAGTAGTCTAGGTGAGACACAGTAGTCTAGGTGAGACACAGTAGTCTAGGTGAGACACAGTAGTCTAGGTGAGACACAGTAGTCTAGGTGAGACACAGTAGTCTAGGTGAGACACAGTAGTCTAGGTGGGACACAGTAGTCTAGGTGAGACACAGTAGTCTAGGTGAGACACAGTAGTCTAGGTGGGACACAGTAGTCTAGGTGAGACACAGTAGTCTAGGTGGGACAGTGTGGCACAGGTAGGAAGATCCATCCTACACCAGTCAGTCAGTCAGTCAGTCAGTCAGTCAGTCAGTCAGTCAGTCAACCGCTCACTACAAATATCAACCAGTGTGGCAGCTGTTAATAAGACTGGCAGCACATTCCAACCACTCGCCCCGGCCCTCGCGTGTGTTCAACTACTGACCTGCTCACCCGTCCACCTTGAGGTAAACAGACTGGCATACACAGAAACAAAGAACAGAGGACAAAATGGACAGAAAGACAGACAGAAACCCTACCACCGCCCTTATACTTGCGGTGGGAGTTATTGACATAAGTTCCGTGCCAACGGAAGTACAGGGTATGTACAAGGCCGCTCCGAGACTGTCTAACCTGGCGTGGGCGGGCGTAGCGGGCGTGGGCTGGCGTAGGGGGTGTGGGCGGGCGTAGCGGGCGTGGGCTGGCGTAGCGGGCGTGGGCTGGCGTAGCGGGCGTGGGCTGGCGTAGCGGGCGTGGGCTGGCGTAGCGGGCGTGGGCGGGCGTAGCGGGCGTGGGCTGGCGTAGCGGGCGTGGGCTGGCGTAGCGGGCGTGGGCTGACGTAGCGGGCGTGGGCTGGCGAAGCGGGCGTGGGCGGACGTAGCGGGCGTGGGCTGGCGTAGTGGGTGTGGGCGGGCATAGCGGGCGTGGGGCCTCACAACGCCCATCGGCGTATATCATAGGCGCAGTTTAGGAAACCCGATTTAGAGTCTGTATGAATGATGACATCATGTAAATTATTCTCAATTGTATAGTTTATGGCCTCCTTCAGGGCATATAATTCTGTCTGCAATGTTGAGCACCCACTATTCATGCTCCAGTAAGCTTCATGGTTGGTAGTGTAAACTACTGCCCCAGCAGAACCTCTTTCTTGGCCAACTGATCCGTCTGTGAAGATGTGAGTCGTTGTAGGTCTTGAGATGGTTTTCATTTGTTGTTCTATGACTTCGCTCCAGGCATTGTTATCCAGTCAACACAGAGATAATATACAACTCCTCACAGAAATCCAACATATAAGAAAAGAGGCCCATAATCTAGGGCTGTCAATCACCCTAAATTGGATACCAAGTCACATTGGCATAGATGGTAATGAAAAGGCAGACTCACTAGCAAAAACTGTCACTGCTCTACCTGTTGTACAGGTTCAAATACCTCCAAGTTTTTTTTCACAGATTAAGGAGCAAATCGAGAAGAAAATATTCACAGTCACCACAGAGCCAAAGTAGCGGAAGGAAGATCCACTGTGATATGGTACGAACAAGCCACTGGGTACTACTCTTTGAAGCCTGGCAAAAAGATATCCAGAGACATTGCAGTAGCCATACACAGACTCAGACTTGGTTACAAGTGCTGCTGGGAGGTAATAAACCCAATAGTTAAAGAGTGTCATATCTGTGGAACAGAAGCAGAGGCGCCACTATTGCACTACTTACTGGAATGTGAAGCTACTGAAGCCCTGCGCATCAAACTCAACATTAATCCAACGACAGCATCTGCCTTAGATGCACATTCCACAGCGACTACAATGATTAGAAAAGCCGTTAAATAATGGGACTCACCAGTGAACATTCTGCACCTACATCCGCCACCAAGATAATGTTATTAAAACACGACTAAAACAGGAGCGAAAAGGAAACAGGGAAAAAGGAGGAAACCCCACCTCCATTTAAAACTTTGACCCCAATATCAGAGTAACAAGGTTATCACGAATAAACGAACTCAATTACGGGCTCACCATAGCCTGTGCTACATGGACATTTCGTTCTGAGTAGCTAAATCTAAAACAACAACAACAACACGAAACCCGAGCTTCGCGCCCCCTCCCCCCCCCCCTCCCCATCCTGTCCCACCTCACATCACGGGACCACATCGCACATCACTTTCACATTCTCATTCACATCACATTAATTCGCAAAAGTTTGCGAATTAATCATATATTTTATAAGAGCCACGAGTGAGGCAGCCGATGGTATCCGATCCTCACTTGTTCTCATCATAGACGACATGATACAAGCTATAAGGAACACCTGTTTAAATTACTTTTATAAGAGATGCGAGAGGCTGGAAAGTGGGAGGGAGGAGGGAGGAGGAGATACCCGATCGTCACTTGTTGTTGATGCAGGTAAGGGTGATGGAGGGTGATCAAGAGAGGAGGCAACACTCCCACGGGGACAGTTGGTGTAATCGGAGCTCACTAGAGGCCAGGGACACCAGGATGCCTGGGCGGGATTATCGGAGATAAGAGGGAAGCAATATCCCTCACAGGCCCGGCAGTGTGCAGCACCACCCCTCACAGACCCGGCAGTGTGCAACACCACCCCTCACAGACCCGGCAGTGTGCAGCACCACCCCTCACAGACCCGGCAGTGTGCAGCACCACCCCTCACAGACCCGGCAGTGTGCAGCACCACCCCTCACAGACCCGGCAGTGTGCAGCACCACCCCTCACAGGCCCGGCAGTGTGCAGCACCACCCCTCACAGACCCGGCAGTGTACAGCACCACCCCTCACAGACCCGGCAGTGTGCAGCACCACCTCTCACAGGCCCGGCAGTGTGCAGCACCACCTCTCGGAGACGTCAGCCCATCGGTGGAGTACATTACTCATAGCATGGGAGTAGTACCTTGGATACTGTACGATACTCACCTACCCGTTCAGGGCATTAGAGGTTGCTGGAATACAGGCAATACAGAGAACATATACGGCATACATAGACACGATGCAGCTACCTAAACTATTGGGATCGTCTCACAGCTCTCAAAATGTACTCACAAGAAAGGTACTAAATTATGTATACCCGTGGAAGATACTGTAGGGCCAGGTTTATCTACACAGTAAAATAACAACATACTGGAGTGA